AACTATGAGTAAGTACAAAGTTACATAGTTACATATCTAGTGTTATAATTATAAATATCTAGCTCTAACTAAGTAAGCAAGAAATTTGAACAACTAAATATATTTTATACATAATCTTGGATCTTAAGTTTTTAAGAAAAATGTTTAATTTTTCCTTAAATTATTTTTTTTTTTTTTGTGAGGAATAAAATTTTTTCTTGTATTAAATCACTAATCGCCTTTGTTTTTCTTTGTTTTTTTTTTGCTCCCATTCTTACATAATATATTATAATTAATATTGCTTAATATTCTCACCTTTATACATTTAATTAATCCTGTTACGTAATGAAGTTTTTTTTTCTGTGTTTTGCTCTATTTTTTCCTTCTTTTAATATACTTTTAACAATAATAATAATTAAGGATATTTAAATCCTAGCAACGATAATTAAATCAATATTAATAGCATAGAAAGAGAAAAAAAGTTAAAAATAAAAAAAAAAACACAATTAAGAACAGAAAATATTTTACTTATTTTGTAATATCAATTTTGAAATCGCTAGGATTACTTCTTATTATTCGACATAATAAGATCTTTAATAACAACTCACACATTATTATAATTATGAAATCAAAAGAACATCGTTTCAGTTAGTTATACATACATATATACATATTATGTAAGGAGATATAGGCAATATCAAGAAACACGGAAGAAGAATTACATACCCTAAAATAAGAACAATTTATAAAAGTGTTGATATGTGCTTAACTTCTTGTTATACAGTAGAATCCCCACTCTACACACATCTCTACAAAATTCATTCAAGTGGCTGAGAATTTTAAAATGAAAGAAGATTACTTTAATTCTACATTTTGTGAATCTCTAAATATATTTTGTTGGAATTGATAAATGTAAATTATAAATTTATAAATACTAACTCCACTTTTAAACCCATAAATAGGAGAATTCGAACTGTTCTTTTGCAATTATTATTTTTATTTTACGTTACAGTTTATGGGCATAGATACAATTCAATCATCTTTATTTACGTTAACACAAATTTTTTGAAATACATTTTAAACCGAGGCGCACTTGATGTATTGATTTTTCTTTTTAAATGTAAATGAATAACTTTAGACGAGTTGCGGAATTAATGGAGCTGTTCGAATTAAAATATAGTACATACAAAATAATAAAATGTTTAAAAATGTTTTTTCTCATGCAACTTTTTTTTTTTTGGAAATAAGTGAATTTATGAAATTATCCCAATTAATTAAAACCGAATTTCGCTGTATCCTTATATTTTCAAATTATAGACAAACGAGTAGGTAAGATGCGTATATGTACATATGTTTGCGATTTATTCGTGTTTGTTCGTTAGTATTATATAATACATTTAATTTTTTTATTTTATTTTTGCTCAGTTTCGATTTTTTTTTTGGCATTAAATTTGCTAAACCCACAATGTAGATAAAGGACAAACGATGAATCCTTTCTATTTTTATTATCAATGTCAACATCATAATTTTTATCAGCAAAATCAGTATCACCGTTATTATCGTATACAGTCATAATTCGTAGGCCTAAGGAAGAATTTTATTTGATCCAACTTTGTTATTTTTCATTTATAATTTTATTTTGTGATTTTACACATCCTATACATATTGGATTTCATTATCCAAGTACATAAATTTTGTATTTTGTGAATATAGAAATCTAGATAGAAGCTTTTTCTTTATATAATAATATGAAGAATTATGCATATTCTTATACATAATTTGCAAAATTTTTCAAATTTAAGCAATGGAATATTCACTTATGTTTTAAATATTTATGTACATTATATAAGTATGTATATGTGATAGAAATGAGAAAATCCTTTTATCTTTCTGACTTCATATGATGTGTATGCATTAGAATTTATAATCTGCTTTACTTATCATTAAAATCAAGTGTATATGTGTATATATTATGATATACAAATATATATATATATACACATTTAAAAATTAATATTTTGTTGAATTTACGTTTATAACTGAAATTTTGATAAATAAATTTAAAAATTTTAATTATTAAAATCTGTTTATTTTGCATTTAAATTCAAAATAATTTTTATTTGTTATATTGTAGAAATTTGTGAAAATAATGTAAGCATTTCAAAAATTAGTTCTTTAAGTAAAATTTCCAAAGTTTAAAAAATTTAAAGTACAAATCAAATTGTACATAATTTCTACCTGATGCACTTTTATTTGACTATGATATTGAAGTGTATTACTTTAAACTAATTTAAACTGAGAGTATTGACTAAAACTTAAAATACTTAAACATACAATAATGGAGCAAATTAAAATTCATAACATGAAATACCTATAGTTGCCATATTCTATTTACATATTTACCTTTTAACATCATTAATATTTGCATACAAAATCTTAATAACTGTATACACAAAATGTGTGTATGGAACTGAAATAACTATTCAAACAATGGATATTATTTCAAGTGTCAATGCCCCTCAGTCTAACAATTCTTAGAATTAAAATCTATTTATAAAATTTAATTATAAAAGCAAATTAATTTGTATAGCAGGAAGCATTTAATGAATTTATTCTTTTGTTTTAACATAATTGTATGTATGTATGCATATATGTAGCTGATTAAATTTCGGATAAGTAGCATATAAAATGTATTTTGCTAGAAGATTAGAATATTTTTGTTTTAACAATTTTTCGTAATAAATACTGTAAAAACACAAATTTTTAATTATAATAATTAAATTTCGCAAATTGGACTCTTTATAATAAATTTTACATGTCTTATTTAAGGGTACCGCTATAGGTTGGCTCATCAAGTATACAAACTGTAATTAATACTTTATATGCATTCAAACTAGCAATATTTATTAACGGTTTTAAAACGGTTTATAAGAATTTAAACAAAGTTTTCCTTTACGTTTTTCATAGAAACAAACTGAAATAATCCGAAATATTTAACGTGGAACAGAAATATCCTAGACTTTCGTTTAAGAAACCCTATTTTATATGAAAAAATAATCAAAAATTCCTCACTAACTTATGTAATATTTTTTGAAAATAATAATATAATTTTAATTAAACATCATTTTCATTCTTATTATAACTTTGAGCTACAAAAGTACAAGTTCTAACCTTAAACAAAATTCTCGTTTAACAAAATGTGCAATTTTACTAACCATTAAATCGTATCTTTCTTTATAATGACTGGGAAAAATACATACACATATACAAAAATATAGTCATATTATTCATATACATGTACCTGTACATATGAACTCATATACACCTACATGAGTACATTTTACCCGCTAGTTAAATTTTTTTCTTTTAAATCGACAAAAAAATCAAATTAGAATTAAGGGAAACACAAAATATTCAAAAAAAGAAAAAAAAAATTAAATTTCAATTAATCCTTCAAGGATTCTAATTGAACGTATAAAATCTGAGATTCTGTATTTATTCTACCCAATATTCTACATACGTGTAATTAGATCCTTACGAGTTTATTTTTATTTTTTTTTGTATATTTTATTTTGTTTTATGATTTTTATTTTTATTATTGATGCTTTTTTTTTTATTATTGTTATAAGGATGTAGCTGAGATATAAGATTATTTTATTTGTATTTAATATGGGTATTTATATTTAAAGATATTGTAATTACCGTGTTGGATTTCAAATATATAATGAATAAACGTGTATAGCATAAATAATTAGATTTTGATTATCTTAAGTTTTGTAATGAAATCTGAGAGTTTATATACATGTACAATTTTCATTTCGATAAGCTCAATAAGAAAAAATAAAAATATTTATTATTTTTTTTTTTTTGATTTACATTAATGTGGTTTTTTTTTCTAAAAAAATTAACTGAAGTTGAAAATGAAATTTTTGGAGAGTCCAATGAGAAAAAAAATTAATTAGTTATTATACATATATATGTATTTATATTGGATTCAAATTTCGTATACAATTTATAGGCAATATTTTTTTGTTCTCTACCTCTTATACTACAAATTTATGAGTGACATGTTAATAATAATGCAATGCGTGTAATTCATTCTCAATAGAATAATAATCAAAGTAAATTAAATAGTAAGAACGTATCTAGGTAGCCTTATAATATTAATAAGCATAAGTAAAGATTTCAAGAATGTAGTATTCAATTTAATCTAAAAACTAAATAAGAATTATATTATCTAATCCAACTAAATTTTTCTATATACTTTAAATTTGTGAGTTATAAATAAATTAATTCATAATGCAATCATGTTTTCATACGCGTAATACATTTTAAGAATTCTATTATAAGTGAACATTCCCGCTTACTAATAATTAATCATAAATATTTACGAAGAAAATTAGTGATCCTTTTATAATTGATTTTTATATTGAAAATGTTTTAGTTTTGCATTTTGAAATTACATTTTTTTTTCAAAAATAAAATGTAAATGTTATAGTAGGTAATCCGAATTTGTATCATTACAGAGGGTTTCCTCTCACTGTCCGAAAATCCGAATAAAATAATTTTTACTCTATGTTCTACTTACAATTTGTTTGTAATAAGAAAAATTTTCGATTTCCTCTTATGTATCGAAGGACTGATATTTGACTGATACCTGACACTAAATTCAATTCGTATATAAAAATAACGTAATCTAACAAAGTAATCTAAATTGGCTTCAGTCAAAAACTAAATTTTTTTAACTCCAAAGATGAACAAAATGAATAGTTAAAAATATATTTTTCGCGGGCACATAAAGGAAAGGCATTTTAAGAACCAATAATACTTAAAATATCACAGCTTACTTTAACTTAAAAAGGTTTAATATAATATAAAATTATATATTAAAATTAAATGCCATCCATTAATAATTAGTCGATGTGATTAAATATTTTATAAAGATTCGTTAATAATGATACTATAAAATTTAAATTTTTCAATTAAAATTCTCAAAACTGACAAATTTGCACCTTAACAAAATGCGAAATATTCAAAATGAATGCCAAGGTATGTACTTTATGTAATTGGAATAAAAATTTGAATAAATGTACATTAAGTTAATCAAAGTCAAGTGTATATTATTTATGCATTTGAAATTCTAAATGTCTTATACTTACTCTATTTGTTATACATTAATATCTGTGTTTTAACAGTTTACTACTATAGTTGTTTTACTACGTACTTTTAAAAATTAAAATTCAAATAAATTTTATACAAATTAAATTGTAATTAATGCCCACGTGTAAGGCAGAGTGTTTATTTAACTCATTTCTTTTTATTTCATATTAAGGTCATTTTGCATTTTATTTAAGAGTGTGAAGAACGAAAATAATAAACAAAACGAATATGCATCCAGTATGAATGAATCTAATTTTTTGATTAAGAGTATTCCATATTTTAATTTATTGAGATAATTAACCTTTGCCATGAAACAAAATCTATACATTGGATCTGATGTTAAAATAATATTTTAAATCCTTTATGTTCCTTAATGTAAAAATCCCGATAAGGTACTTATAATATTCTTATGTAAATAAGACTAATGTTATGGCCCTTATCATCCTCTTTCCTGTATAGTTTTTATGAACATATAAAGCAATATTTTATAAGGAAAACCTGTATTTGAAAATTTCCGAAAGAAAAATTAATTTTGCCCAAAAACTTTCGATTATTTTTTTTTTAGAAAATCTAATAATAATAATTATTAATTTTCTAAAATAAATTTCTAAAATTGCTGTAAACATAATAATTTCCCATTTTTAAGTTTTTACTAAAATTGAAACATTTTTGTTAATTAAGTTGTGGTTTTTATTTTATAAATTAAATATTGATGATTTTATTTTTCCTATGACTATTTTCGATTGCCAATTTAATTAGTCTATTAAAATATTTATAATTTTATTTTGTGGTTTGTAATTTAGGGTAAAATACGTTTTGTAAATCACTTAAGTTTTTAATATTCAAAATAAATTTTGTATTTAGAAAATTTATTTAAGTGTTTTTAAAATGTTATTTTTAAAATTAATTTTAATTTTTACAGTGAAATGCGAAGGCACTGAACGGGCTATTAATATTCTAAATGAAAGTATACGTTAAATAATAGTATTTGTAGTAAATGGATTGACTTGATGCCGAACAATGCAAGAATTATTTTTTTTTTAAAGAATAATGTAAAAGGATTTGCCAGTATAAGAGGCACAAATTCAAAATAAATAAACTTTCATTTAAATGTTTAGCTTTTGATTTCTGAACTGGTTCTTTTCACAAAAATAAGGTCATTTATTTTAGTTTTTAAAGGGTCCCATAATATTTATTTGACTATAGGATCTTCTGAAAGAAGTTAGAAGTTTTTCACATAGATTTAGCATTTATTTTCCCAAAATGGTTATCTGTCATAGTACCTACTGACATAAATTTTTAAAATTCACTTTCAGAATAGTCGTTTCATTTTTACTGATGTACTCGGAATTTACCATGCTATGCGCATACTATAGTAGACCAAAATGACTGATATGTTAAGAATCCGAACCAATATAATATGTTAGTTCCGCACATCGCAATTCAATCGGAAAAAACATATTCATAATGAAAATACTATGTATACAACTATGTAAATTGTAAATCAATAAAAATATGTTCCAGTCGTGCTAATTTTGTTATTTAATTATTAATTATTTCCACAATTTAAGCTGATTTTAAGATCCGCATTTGCTTAGTTTGTTTACTACACAGCTAATTTTAATATAATATGCGAACTTTTGAAACGAAATAATGTCACCCACTATCTACAAAATAAGTAAATTGAAAACTTTCATAGTAGTTAAAGAATTTGTCCAAACTATTTTGCTAAAATAATTACTTTAACCCACTGTAAAACCCATGCGTAAATCCAAACGCAATTATTATAGTGCAGTTTGGGTTTACATTTGTATATTATATAAAGAAGGATCACCCATCATGTAATTTTGGAAATTTGAGATATTCACTTACAAATTACACATTCGTAGAAAATTTTTATAATTTTCATTAATGATTTATTTTTGAAGCTGGGCAGTTGAACACAAAATTCATTTTTCTTTTAATTTTGATTCCCATAATATTCCCATAAAACTGTGTATGGGGTAAACTTAAAATTTTTATTTCTTGCTTTTTCATTTAATAAAAATCTACTTATTACATAACCAAACTCTACAATTCTGCAGGCTTGACTGAACATCGAATGTACACTTTATTTTCGTTTTTTAATTTAATTAAATTTTTATTGATTTATGATTCTTCTGATTTGAACATTTTTATTTCACAAATTGTCAACGTTATGCAATTATTACTATTATGTAAGGAAGTTAAAATTATACGAGGGAATGCAACTTGTCACATACCAACAAATAACGTATAAAACAATATTAAGTAGCTTGTTAATAAATATTCTTATTTGTTCGTACGTATGTTGTATTGTATGCATATACATGACAACTATAGTTTGTTGCTATAAAAATAGTTTTGTTGAATTTCTCAACAATATCTGACACATAATATACTTATTATGCATGTGCTATGTAGCCATATAAAATTGCTATTGGGGGAAATTGAAGACTAAAGAGAGAAAATATCGTTAATATTGAAATCAATTTTATTCAAAAACAAACAAAGAAATTTGTTATAAAGGAAAAAAAATTAAATGTCCATAAAAAATGACGTATTGGTTTATGCAGGTTGATTTAACTTGAACTTGTCAACAGCATATACGAAAAATGAAAAAAAAAAATAATTTTGACTTTGACATTTTAATTTTATCACAAACTATCATTAATAATAAGAGGCCGTATTGACAATTTCCATGGCTGAGAATGAGATTGAAAACGGGCAAAAAGAAAACTGTAAAGAAAAATATTAATAATTGTTTTTCAATTAAATTTTTATTGTTCAATTTGTTTGTTTTTTTTTCAATATTTTATTTATATAATGGGAAAATTCATTTGTCGACAATCAATTGTACAGCATAAAAGATATTGCATTACTTTTGTGACAAAGAAAGTTTTGTTAAATAAGTACGTGCGAATGTTTTCGAAATTTCATAATTTTTCAACTCTAACGACTAAAGACACTGGCCGTAAAAAGAACTTTGTGCGTATATTTAGAATTACTTTAATTCGGTTAGTTTTAAATTTTGTAATTTGATGAACACTTAAAAGTATATCGAAGATTTTTGTAATTGTTTTGTTAGTATAACTTATAAACTATATTTTAAATTTTCATTAATTAGATTTTTCTCTATTTGAATCTGTTATATAATTTCTGTTATATAGATTTTATTACAATTCAAAGTTCGCGAATGCTCCAAATTCTTTTCAATAGATTTGATTACATGTTTAAATCCCTCTGGAACGAGTCGCAGAGTATGCATACTTACCATTTCTTGAAGAACGCAACAATTTAGAGTAGAAAATGGGCGTTTGTTTGAGAAATAAGAATTTTGGAATTAAATTTGTATAGGTAGGAATATATATATAGAGTTAGAAGCTCGGCAGTATATGAATTTTTAACAGATCAAGTAATATATTTTCTTTTTGGTAACGTTCTACATGAAAATTGTTTTTTTGTGGATACCTTACCTTAAGAGTTTTTGCAACTGGTTGCAGTTCCAATTTCGTTTGATTCGAGCCGAATCAATATAAAAATGAAACGTATATTTTATTTTAATTTACAGTGAAATTTATGGTTGGATTTGTAAAAATAATTATGAAAATGAAATTTTATTGTAAGTATGTGAATAAATGCAAGTATGTATATCTGATAACCACATCATACAAGTATAGAATTGAATTGAACTGGTCAATGAACAATATTCGAATTTGTGCACAACATTCTTTAAAAGTATTGGTTTACAAATGTTGAAGATGTACATTTATTTTATCTTCAACATTTTTCTATGCTGAAATCTGTGAGAATCCAATAATTAAAAAAATTTGATTTAGGATTTGATTTAAAATTTTAATAAATGAAGTAAAAAATTTGCTTCATTCCTTGTTTAGAATTGTGAAATTTCAAAAGAATTTCTTTGCGATATTTTAAAAATTTGACTCAGTAGATTTTTAGAATTAATTACTAATGTCAAATTTTCAAAATCTCATTATGCATTTTGTTTTTCTATTTCTTTTTCTTAATATTTACAACTCAGTTGAATTACAATATTATATGACAATGTAATTAAACTAAAAATTACCACATCGGCCTTAGTTTCTGCTGGCGACTATTTAAAAAACCACAATATTTTTAATTTAATAAAATTTTGAGTTTTTATTTAAGGTTATTTAATTTTTAATGCTTCATTTTTTCATACACAGAATTGTTAAATGTTTGTGATTCTTATTGACACAAATTTCATATTTTAAAAATTTTTTATCAGCAATTTAACACAAGTTTAAGTGAGAATATTAAAATTTATTGCGTATATACAAATTTACTCACATTCCTTGGCAGTTTTCATTGATAGAGTGGGAGAGTAACAAAAATATCATCACATCATTGATCCTTTTTGATGATGAATTTTCAAAAATCGGGAAATATACATGTTTCTAAAAGAAAAAAAATATTATTCAATTCTGTGCACACATTTTCATACTACAGGTTGGATTTTTTCCTTTGGTTCATATAAAATAATAAAATATGTATAAATTACATATTGTAATAAAATTTTGAACTTTTCTTCAGGATATTTCTCTGTCAATGTTATTACTCTATTGTAATGCTATAATAACTCTTGTCTTACATATTGTGTTATACTTTTATCATTATAATAAATGTATTAACGTGTGTATACATACATGCATGAATTATTTGATTACAATGGCATTTCATATAATAGGTATTGTAATAGTACTAGATGGGTAAACATGTTGATTTCTCAACTTCTCATAAACTATATCTCTTTTCTGCCTTATGCAATGTATACCATAAACTATTGTGTATATAATTTCAAAGAAAATTTTAATAGAAAATAATTTCAT